TTTACTCTATTTAGTACTGTTATTATTACATTTATTATTCTATTATTACTGTTATTATTACATTTCCATTATTTTACTCTATTTAGTACTGTTATTATTACATTTCCATTATTTTACTCTATTATTATTGTTATTATTACATTTATTATTTTACTCTATTATTATTGGATGGATACGTAAGCACATTTACATTGAAGTAGTTTAGAATAATGGTTTAATCAGAGTTGGGCGGTCTTATCTCAAATTAGTTTTATGTAAATATTCAAAAACATTTATCCCACTGATGCCTCAATTAATGTAATTATATTGGTATCTATTTTTATTTCGAAATTTACCAATAGCTGCTGCATTTCCCACTCTCGTCTTATACTCGAGTCATTATGTTTTCCCTGTTATTTGTGGTAAAATTAGGTGCCTCGGCTCCTGTTTGGGTCGGCTTATACTCGAGTATATACGGTATTTACTATTTATTTACAGTATTTATTAGGCTTGGGTAAGTTTGTTCGTAAGCTTCTAAAATCGTAATTAATTCGGATTAAATCGGATTAAATTAATTAATTCGGATTAAATTTTGATCCAATTTCGAGCCATGCAGGAATAGTGGGAGGAGCAATTCCGAACTGAAACAACTTCCCCATTGTTTGGAATTATTTTCGGATGTGGCTTTGCACGCCCGGCGATGCAAAGAGGGACGAGGTGGGCGTGGCTAAGAACAGCTCTTCCTGAAGGCCACGCCCCTCTTTGCATCGGCGGCTCTGCAATCCATCGCCGTTCGCCGCCACCCAGGGTTTTGTCATATTGAAAATGCTTTTCAAACCAACAACACATTTTTGTTCAGAAATAACTGCGAGATTTTAAAACTGTTTAGGCTTTCTGACTTTGCCAAAGTTAATGGTTCTGGAGGGAGGGGCACCTTCCATTAACGAAGCAAGCGAAGCAATTCAGATTTCTGCTATTTCCGACCTTTTTTTCAAGAAAATTTCAGAAATCACTTCAAAATTGAAACGCCAGCGCCCCCTATATACGAAACGGGTTTAGAACCATTTTTTTTCTTGATCACCCAAGCCTAGTAAAACCACACTATAATAATAATAATAATAATAATAATAATAATCCTTTATTTATACCCCGCTACCATCACCCGCAGGACTCGGTGCGGCTTACAAGAGGCCGAGCCCAAATACATCAATAAAAGACAACGACAACAATACAACAATACAACAATAAATAACTCATAAACAAAGCAAAACAATAACAATAATATCACAACGCATTTAAAAGCAAATGTAATGATTAAAATTTTAAAAATGCTGGGCATGTCCAGGGAAAATAGGATGGATATTTTAGGGATAGGTGGGCGTGCAGACAATCCTAAATCTCTCGTAAAGTGCATTTGGGACAAATTGCTTGGATTTCCTTATTCTGGGAAGGCACACTGGAACATCCACATTTTCAAGCTCCTTCTAAAGACTGCCAATGTTGGGGCATGCGAGACAGGGCCTTTTCTGTGGTGGCCCCCCGACTTTGGAACGCCCTCCCAAAAGATCTGAGACAGGCCCCTACGTTGGCAGTTTTCAGAAAGAATTTAAAAACCTGGCTGTTCCGATGTGCCTTCCCAGATTAGGAATCCCCATCACCAAGTCCTAGAAGCACTTTAGTAGAATCAAGATCACTGCACACCGCATTTTATGATCCTATATTCCTCCTGCCACTTCAGCACTTTTTAACCCTGTACCCACTGCTCTGGCCAGCCCAGTTTTTAAAGTGTCCTGATTTTGTTACTGTTGTTGTTTATTTTGCTCACTGTTTTGATTTGCTTTGGTATTGTTGTTGTATTATGTTTTACTGTATTGTGTTTTGAGGCTTCGGCCTATGTGAGCCGCATCGAGTCCTACGGGAGATGCTAGCGGGGTACAAATAAAGTTAATAATAAATAAAATAATAATGCCTGATGTCCTTGGAGAGGGAGTTCCAGAGTCGAGGGGCCACCACCGAGAAGGCCCTGTCCCTCGTTCCCACCAATCGCGCTTGCGATGCAGGTGGGATCGTGAGCAGGGCCTCTCCAGATGAACGAAGAGATCGTGTGGGTTCGTATACAGAAATGCGGTCACGCAGGTAGATGGGTCCCAAACCGTTTAGGGCTTTGTAGGTAAGCACCTGCACCTTGAATTCTCAGTAGTGGCCCCTCGGCTGTGGAACGCCCTTCCTACAGACATCAGATCGGCCCCCTCCTATCTGGCATTCCGGAAGAGAGTGAAGACCTGGCTCTTCGAACAGGCTTTCAACTAAGCAGTGCAATTGATTGATTATTGGAATATGGATTAATGGACAATGAGAGTGGATGCTGATTCTATTGATGAGACGTGATGGATTGTTATTTTGTTGTATTGTTGTATTGATGTTTTGATGTGAATTAATTGATATTGCTGTTTTAATTGATTAATGATCTGTTTTGTACTGTTGAATTGGTTGTTAACCGCTCTGAGTCGCCTGAGGGCTGAGAAGAGTGAAGTAAATAAATAAATAAATAAATAAAATATCAAGAACAGTACATCATCAAATATCAAAACAGTTATTAAAACCATAAAACAAATAGTACGCCCAAGTATTCTCTGACTCCCTGATTCGGTCAAGATTGAAAAGGAAAGGTGTATACCTGCTCTTCAAACCGGCGTATTTTGGCCATTGAGAGCAGAATGGTGACACTGAAGGGACACAGGGCTCTGCTGGGGTCTCCCTGTTGCTCCGCCTGGAAAACATTAAGCAACCAGAACGCATTAGAGAGCTTTCGAGGTGCCACGGTATTAATAACTTTACAAGCAATGACTACTTGATAAAAGGGACTAAAAATGATCAAGGGTCTGGAGAACAAGCCCTATGAGGAGCGGCTGAAGGAGCTGGGCATGTTTAGCCTGAAGAAGAGAAGGCTGAGAGGGATATGATAGCCATGTATAAATATGTGAGAGGAAGCCACAGGGAGGAGGGAGCAAGCTTGTTTTCTGCTTCCTTGGAGACTAGGACGCGAACAATGGCTTCAAACTACAAGAGAGGAGATTCCATCTGAACATGAGGAAGAACTTCCTGACTGTGAGAGCCATTCAGCCGTGGAACAGGAGACATGGACAAGAAGTGGAAAAGGGGAGAAATCACCAAAGAAGAATTCAAACAAATAGCCAACACCTGTAGGGAAAGGTCCGCAAGGCTAAAGCACAAAATGATTAGGACAAGGAACAATGGCTTCAAACTACAAGAGAGGAGATTCCATCTGAACATGAGGAAGAACTTCCTGACTGTGAGAGCCGTTCAGCAGTGGAACTCTCTGCCCCGGAGTGTGGTGGAGGCTCCTTCTTTGGAAGCTTTTAAACAGAGGCTGGATGGCCATCTGTCAGGGGTTATTTGAATGCGATGTTCCTGCTTCTTGGCAGAATGGGGTTGGACTGGATGGCCCAGGAGGTCTCTTCCAACTCTTGGATGCTATGATTCTACTTAGCACAGTTCAAACTTAAAATAAACATTTACTTAACAAAAAAGAGTAACATCTGGGCAACCAAGGGAAATAGTGCAGTGAGAAGCCTCTGTTCTTCTTACTACATGAAAAATATGATACGTAAAGGTAAAGTGTTCCCCTGACATTAAGTCTAGTCATGTCCAACTCCGGGGGGTGGTGCTCATCTCCATTTCTAAACCAAAGAGCCGGCATTGTCCATGGACACCTCCAAAGTTATGTCGCCAGCATGACTGCACGGAGCGCTGTTACCTTCCTGCCGGAGCGGTACCTATTGAACTACTCACATTTGCATGTTTTCAAACTGCTAGCTTGGCAGAAACTGGGACTAACAGCAGGAGCTCACCCTGCTCCCCGGATTCAAACTGCTGACCTTTCGGTCAGCAAGTTCAGCAGCTCAGTGGTTTAACCCACTGCTTCACCAGGCGGCCTATAATGATACAACTCTGCTAATAATGACTCGAACAAAGCTTTGCTTGAGAGAAAGGGAAAAACTCATTTGGTTTTGTGCCAGTGTGAGGGGCTAAAATATTCTCGCAGCAAATTCCACTGAGTTGGAGGCTGCTTTTCCCTTTGTCTTTAGTTTGCAGAAATAGACAAAATGAGAGCACAAGTTCAGCCACTCTCCTTGTGGGTTGTTGTAGGTTTTTTGGGGCTATATGGCCATGTTCTAGAGGCATTCTCTCCTGACGTTTCGCCTGCATCTATGGCAAGCATCCTCAGAGGTAGTGAGGTCTGTTGGAACTAGGAAAAGGGGTTTATATATCTGTGGAATGACCAGGGTGGGACAAAGGACTCTTGTCTGCTGGAGCTAGGTGTGAATGTTTCAACTGACCACCTTGATTAGCATTTGATAGCCTGGCAGTGCCTGAGAGGTGATTAGATGTCCCAGATTGTTTCCTCTCTGTTGTTTTGCTGCAACAAAATCAGGGACATCTAATCACCTTTCAACAAAAGATTGCCCCAGGCACTGCCAGGCTATCAAATGCTAATCAAGGTGGTCAGTTGAAACATTCACACCTAGCTCCAGCAGACAAGAGTCCTTTGTACCACCCTGGTCTTTCCACAGATATATAAACCCTCTTTCCTAGTTCCAACAGACCTCACTACCTCTGAGGATGCTTGCCATAGATACAGGCCAAACATCAGGAGAGAATGCTTCTAGACCATGGCCATATAGCCCGAAAAAGCCTACAACAACCCAGTAATTCCGGCCATGAAAGCCTTCGACCATACACTCTCCTTGTGTTTGCCTGGCTGACCAAACATAGCAGTCTTTGCTTTCATTTTTGCTTGTGTTTGTCTCCTTCCTTTGTGAAGAGAAAAATGGATTTAATAGTCGCAGTAAACAGTGGGCAGGCCACATGTACAGGATAAAATGTTAAAAACTCTAATGAGATAAAAATAGGAGCAAAAAAGTGGTCAGAAAAAGGCCTATATGAAGCATGGGCAAACTTTGGCCCTCCAGGTGTTTTGGACTTCAACTCCCACAATTACTAGATCGCTTTGTGTTCTCAAATATTATGTTTTGTAGAACTGCAAATTTTCTGTATTAAAAATAAAAAGTCCTGAGAGTTTCAGAGAAAAAAAAAAGCTACCTAGCTTTATTATACACTAGTAGCTTGGGGACCCGGCGATGCTCGGATTACTTGAAAAAGACCTCACAACCTCTGAGGATGCTTGCCATAGATGCAGGTGACACGTCAGGAGAGAATGCCTTTAGAACATGGCCATATAGCCCGAAAAAACCTACAACAACCCAGTGATTCCAGCCATGAAAGCCTTCGACAACAGACCCCACAACCTCTGAGGATGCATGCCATAGATGCAGGCGAAACGTCAGGAGAGAATGCCTTTAGAACATGGCCATACAGCCCGAAAAAACCTACAACAACCCAGTGATTCCAGCCATGAAAGCCTTCGACAACAGACCCCACAACCTCTGAGGATGCTTGCCATAGATGCAGGCGAAACGTCAGGAGAGAATGCCTTTAGAACATGGCCATACAGCCTGAAAAAACCTACAACAACCCAGTGATTCCAGCCATGAAAGCCTTCGACAATACATTGAGAAAGACATTGTTTATTTTGGGAAGTTTGGTAATATCTCTGGATGCAGGGTGAACAATTCCCACACAGGCAGGTCATTACCTCCCGAACCTCTCCAGTATGTTAAGTTGGCCAGGTTATTTGAAAAAGGTACTATTTGTTTGGGGTGTTATTAGAAAAAAGCCAGACTTTCCTGTTGTTTTTATGAATGCTCGCATTAGAAAATGCATAAGGATGTGGATGAACTGTATTTCCCAAAATTGTGGGCCAATCACCCCAAACCCCACCAGTATTCAAAGTTTGCCATGTTGGGTCTGTGTGCCATGTTTGGTAATTCTTCCCAAACTTCTTGTTCAGTTGCAGATCAATTCCTGTTTGCTGTGTGCCATAGGAATGCATAGGAAAGGGTTAAGTGAGAGGCAGTGGACGGGGTCATGCAAATTTGGAGAGAGAAAGGAGCCCTGGGATGTCCTTTCCGGAGAAAAAACAGAACATAGAATCATAGAATCATAGAATCAAAGAGTGGGAAGAGACCTCATGGGCCATCCAGTCCAACCCCATTCTGACCAAGAAGCAGGAATATTGCATTCAAATCACCCCTGACAGATGGCCATCCAGCCTCTGTTTCAAAGCTTCCAAAGAAGGCGCCCCCACCACACTCCGGGGCAGAGAGTTCCACTGCTGAACGGCTCTCACAGTCAGGAAGTTCTTCCTCATGTTCAGATGGCATCTCCTCTCTTGTAGTTTGAAGCCATTGTTCCGTGTCCTAGTCTCCAAGGAAGCAGAAAACAAGCTTGCTCCCTCCTCCCTGTGGCTTCCTCTCACATATTTATACATGGCTATCATATCTCCTCTCAGCCTTCTCTTCTTCAGGCTAAACATGCCCAGTTCCCTAAGCCGCTCCTCATAGGGCTTGGTCTCCACACCCTTGATCTGCTCCCTCCTCCCTGTGGCTTCCTCTCACATATTTATACATGGCTATCATATCTCCTCTCAGCCTTCTCTTCTTCAGGCTAAACATGCCCAGTTCCCTAAGCCGCTCCTCATAGGGCTTGTTCTCCAGACCCTTGATCATTTTAGTCGCCATCCTCTGGACACATTCCAGCTTGTCAATATCTCTCTTGAATTGTGGTGCCCAGAATTGGACACAATATTCCAGATGTGGTCTAACCAAAGCAGAATAGAGGGGTAGCATTACTTCCTTAGATCTAGACACTATGCTCCTATTGATGCATCCTATTGATGCATCTAGGAAGGAAAGTTCCCCGAATGAAAGCATTCCTTGGGTTGTTGGTGTTTGGGGAGGATATTGGCAGGGGTTGGGCTACATGTTCATGGTGCTCACTATAACCTGCAATGTCAGTTGAGGGAGTGCCTTTGGAGGCTTCTCAGCACTTGGAACTATAACCTGTTTGAGAAGGCAGGGGACTATCTGTGAGGCTGTCTGTGCAAGTGGACACCTCCGCAACATACACACATTTTCACTTTTATTATGTGGATAGATTTGGCATACCTTTAAGTATTTTATTAGCTCCTTTCCTAAATCCTGGTTCAAATTAATGGCCAGCACTATATGCAGGATGATGGTGCCTTCCACATGACGGAGCTGATCTGCAGGAACCGTGGCTTCTTCAAGGTCCATTGACCTGAAAGCATTGATCACACAAAAGTCAAAGATACAGTCATAGTTGCAACAAAGACACAAAAACGAGGACAATCATGCAAAAGACAAAGCAATATATTAATCCCACACCGGAGGAGCAAATACTAGAAATAAAGAACACAAGGAACGACTTACTCTGAATTCTTCTGTTCCTCTTTTAGCTTTTTATCCATTTGGTTGAAAAAGTTGATGATTCCTTCCAATATGTTTTTCTTGCTGCCCTGAGAGATTATGAAACAAGAAAAGAACATAAATAGTAAGAAAATAATATAACAATAATCAATGAGCAGCCATATATTTGGTTTTAGACGCAAGTGAGCTTGTTAATATGAGGCTATAGAATCCTAGAGTTGGAAGAGACCTCCTGGGCCATCCAGTCCAACCCTACTCTGCCAAGAAGCAGGAAAATTGCCTTCAAAACACCCCCGACAGATGGCCATCCAGCCTCTGTTTAAAAGCTTCCAAAGAAGGAGCCTCCACCACACTCCAGGGCAGAGAGTTCCACTGCTGAACAGCTCTCCGAGAAGCAGGAGGTTGGGCATATGGAGTATTCATGCTAAGTTTGGTCTAGATCCTTCATTGTTTGAGTCTACAGTGCTCTCTGGATATAGATGAACTACAACTCCAAAACTCAAGGTTAATGCCCACCAAACCCTTGTAGTGTTTTCTGTTGGTCATGGGAGATCTGTGTGCCAAGTTTGGTTCAATTCCATTGTTGATAGAGTTCAGAATGCTCTTTGATTGTAGGTGAACTATAAATTCAAGCAACTACAACTCCGAAATGACAAAATCAATCCCCCCAACCTCATAGAATCAAAGAGTTGGAAGAGACCTCCTGGGCCATCCAGTCCAACCCCATTCTGCCAAAAAGCAGGAAAATTGCATTCAAAGCACCCCTGACAGATGGCCATCCAGCCTCTGTTTAAAAGCTTCCAAAGAAGGAGCCTCCACCACACTCCAGGGCAGAGAGTTCCACTGCTGAACAGCTCTCACAGTCAGGAAGTTCTTCCTCATGTTCAGATGGAATCTCCTCTCCTGTAGTTTGAAGCCATTGTCCCATTGCGTCCTAGTCTCCAGGGAAACAGAAAACAAGCTTGCTCGCTCCTCCCTATGACTTCCTCTCACATATTTATACATGGCTATCATATCTCCTCTCAGCCTTCTCTTCTTCAGGCTAAACATGTCCAGGTCTTTAAGCCGCTCCTCATAGGGCTTGCTACCATTACTGCTCAAGCAGGGAGCTTTGAGATGGTAGAACAGAAGTTCTCCGAAGCTCTAGGTGCCCTTACCGCCTATTACAGGGAAAACCTGCTGATCCCTAATCCATCTAAAACACAGACATGTGCCTTTCACCTTAAGAACAGACAAGCATCCCGAGCTCTGAAGATCACCTGGGAAGGAATCCCACTGGAGCATTGCAGCGCACCCAAATACCTGGGAGTCACTCTGGACCGTGCTCTGACCTACAAGAAGCACTGCCTGAACATCAAGCAAAAAGTGGGTGCTGGAAACAATATCATACGAAAGCTGACTGGCACAACCTGGGGATCACAACCAGACACAGTGAAGACATCTGCCCTTGCGCTATGCTACTCTGCTGCTGAGTATGCATGCCCAGTGTGGAACACGTCTCACCACGCTAAAACAGTGGATGTGGCTCTTAATGAGACATGCCGCATTATCACGGGGTGTCTGTGCCCTACACCACTGGAGAAATTACACTGCTTAGCCGGTATTGCACCACCTGACATCCGCCGGGAAGTAGCAGCCAATAGTGAAAGGACCAAGGCAGAGACATCTCCAGCTCATCCCTTGTTTGGGTATCAGCCAGCACGTCAACGACTTAAATCAAGAAATAGTTTTCATAGATCTACAGAGACACTCGCTGGAACACCTCAGCAAGCGAGAGGCCAAAAGTGGCAGGCTCAAACCCAGACCCTCAATCAATGGCTGATACCAAATGAGAGACTCCCCCCTGGGCACACAGAAGACTGGGCGACTTGGAAGGCGCTGAACAGACTGCGCTCTGGCACCACGAGATGCAGAGCCAACCTCAAGAAATGGGGCTACAAAGTGGAATCCACGACATGCGAGTGTGGAGAAGAGCAAACCACTGACCACCTGCTGCAATGCAACCTGAGCCCTGCCACATGCACAATGGAGGACCTCCTTGAGGCAACACCAGAGGCACTCCAAGTGGCCAGATACTGGTCAAAGGACATTTAATCAACTACCAAGCTTGCAAACTTTTGTTTGTTTGTTTGTTTTGTTAAAAATGTAATACAACTGTCTGGTTGCTCCTGACATGATAAATAAAATAGGGCTTGTTCTCCAGACTCTTGATCATTTTCGCCGCCATCTTCTGGACACATTCCAGCTTGTCAATATGAATTATGAGTCACCCACAAGATTGAAAAACACATGCCCATTGGGTCCAAGTGCTGAAAATTGTTCACTTTCCACAAAGATTGTACCTTGGAAGAAAGCAACAGGAGCTGATAAACTAAAGGAGGGATTTCTTGAAGGTCTAACTTAGAAAACATCCTTAGGACCTTCTCCACCACAAACTGCAGCTCTTCTGTACTTAGTGGAACATCCCTGCAGAGTACAAGGGAGGGGGGAAAAAAACACAATACCAATCAATGTTTTCCAAAAAGTTTTTAAACAGAGGCTGGATAGCCATTGGTCAGGGGTTCTTTCATTGTACTTTTCCTGCATGATTCTATGAAAAGGCAACAGCATATTTAGACCAAGAGCAGATATGGTGAAAATATATCCACCCTGAGTCCTCTCGAGGAATTAGGGCAGAATATAAAGTTATTTACTGTATATACTCGAGTCTAAGCCTAGTTTTTCAGCCCCTTTAGTATTAGTATTATTTTTATTGCATTTAAAACTGTAATTAAATATATGACTGTCCAACTCTGAATAAACCATTATTCTAACCTTCTTCAATGTAAATGTGCTTACGTATCCTTCCAATAATAATAAAGACAGTAAAATAATGCATGTAATAATAATAATAATAATAATAATAATAATAATAATAATGGAAATGTAATAATACCAGTAATAATATCATAAAATAATAAATGTTATAACAATAAATAGAGTAAAATAATAAATTTAATAATAATAATAATAATAATAATAATAATAGAGTAAAATAATAGAGGAAGTAGCAGCCAATAGTGAAAGGACCAAGGCAGAGATATCTCCAGCTCATCCCCTGTTTGGGTATCAGCCAGCATGTCAATGACTTAAATCAAGAAATAGTTTTCTAAGATCTACAGAGACACTCGCTGGAACACCTCAGCAAGTGAGAGTCCAAAAGTGGCAGGCTCAAACCCAGAACCTCAACCAATGGCTGATACCAAATGAGAGACTCCCCCCTGGGCACACAGAGGACTGGGCGACTTGGAAGGTGCTGAACAGACTGCGCTCTGGCACCACGATGCAGAGCCAACCTCAAGAAATGGGGCCACAAAGTGGAATCCTCGACATGCGAGTGTGGAGAGGAGCAAACCACTGACCACCTGCTGCAATGCAACCTGAGCCCTGCCACATGCACAATGGAGGACCTTCTTGCAGCAACACCAGAGGCACTCCAAGTGGCCAGATACTGGTCAAAGGACATTTAATCAACTACCAAACTCACAAATTTTGTATTTTGTCTGTTTGTTTGCTTTGTTCTGTTAGAAATGTAGCATAATCTGACTGGTTGTGCTGACACAACAAATAAAATAAAATAAATGTAATAACAATAGAGTAAAATTATAAATGTAATAAAAATGATAACAGAGGAAAACAATAAATAACCTTGACTCAAGTATAAGCCGAGGGGGACTTCTTCAGCCTAAAAAAAGGGCTGAAAAACTAGGCTTATACTCAAGTATATACAGTAGTTTATGAAGAAATTGTTAAAGATTATAGATAAAAACAGTCTGAAACATTACTGAAGTTTTTAACCTTTGACAAGAAATGTGCCTGTATCTTTAAATACATTAGTAAACAATCTTGTTATCTTTAAAAGAAGTCTGCTTGCATCATTGTCTGCTGAATGCATCAAACAGAAACAAAACATCAAAATGCTCCATTATCAAAGAAACTCTGCTATTCCGATTAAGTTGTGATTTTAGCAGTTCATAATCTGTACCCCGGTGGTCAGTGATCCTAACAGGTCAAGATCCATTATCCCCAAAATACTTTGAGAAGACATTTAGGTCACAAGAGAAAGCCAAATAATACTAGGTTTATACAGATTAAGAGGTTACCTGAACATAGAAGTTAAACGAATCACATGCTGATGACCCCACCTGTTAAAATAAAAACCAGAGTCTGAAAACAGAAAATAAACTACCAATGGAAAATACTTTCAGAAGGATAGCAGTTAGTCTGTTGCAGCAAAATAAATACATGGGATCCTGTCACACCTCAAAGACTGAAAGTTATTATGCCATAGGATTGGACATCTGATGAAACTAACTCATCTCCTGAGATACTTGCACCAAATGAAAATCTCTTTCCAGATGGATGATTCTATCTGAAATAATCCATTCACTTGCAGCATCTATATAAATATAGACATATATACACACACAAAACACATATACACAGACTGGGCCACAGCAACGCGTGGCAGGGGACGGCTAGTATATACATAAAAATATAATGTTAGTTTGTGGGATTAACGTAACTCAAAAACCACTGGACGAATGGACACCAAATTTGGACACAATACACCTATCAGGCCAATGAGTGACCATCACGCATAAAAACACTAAAAAATAGAGCAGAAGAGACTTAAAAAGCAAAAAAATAAAGAAATTACAATGCATACGCAAACCGCATATATACACATAAATACACATATATACACATAAATACACACACAAAACAGACTAACCCACAGCAATGTGTAGCAGGGGACAGCTAGTCTATAGAAATAAAAAATGTAACGTTAGTTTGTGGAATTAACAGAACTCAAAAACCACTGGACGAATTGACACCTAATTTGGACACAATACACTTATCAGGCCAATAAGTGACCATCACGCATAAAAACACTAAAAAAAATACAGCAGAAGAGACTTAAAATGCAAAAAAATAAAAAAATACATTACAACCCATGCGTAAAACCACATATATACACATACATACACACACAAAACACATATACACAGACTAGGCCACAGCAATGTGTAGCAGGGGACAGTTAGTCTATAGAAATAAAAATGTAATGTTAGTTTGTGGGATTAACAGAACTCAAAAACCACTGGACGAATTGACACCAAATTTGGACACAACACACCTATCAGGCCAGCAAATGACCTTCATGGCAGAAGAGCCTTAAAATGCCAAATAACAAAAATTGCATTACAACGCATGCGCAGAACCACATATATACATACATACATATACACACACACACACACACAAAACACATATACACAGACTGGGCCACAGCAACACGTGGCAGAGGACAGCTAATCTATATAAATAAAAATGTAATGTTAGTTTGTCGGTTTAACATAACTCAAAAACCACTGGACAAATGGACACCAAATTTGGACCCAATACACCTAGCAAGCCAACGAGAGACCATCACTCATAAAAACAATGAAAACCACAGCAGAAGAGACTTAAAAAGCCAAAAAATTAAAAATACATTACAACGCATGCACAAAACTACATATATACATACATAAACACACACACAAAACAAATATACACAGACTGGGCCACAGCAAGGTGTGGCAATGGACAGCTACTATGTAGATAAAATAAAGCAAGGACATTGAGTAAAATGATGAGACGGCGCGGATGATTTAGTATAATTATATTATATTATTGTTGTATTGTTGATTGTTATGTTGATATGCTGTTGTGTTATTGCTTCATTGTAAACTGGTTTTATATGTTGTACGTGAGTCGCCCTAGGGCTGAGAACGGCGGTCAACAAATGCAGTAAATAAATAAATAAATAAATAAATAATGAAAATCTATCAAAAGCCACTTACAGTGACTTTGACACTTGCTTTTCTATATGGCAAAATGCCTGCATAAAATTAGTGCATTTTGTCCAGTTATCAAGGAAATCAATAAAACTGATCTGGCAAAGAAATGCCTACCTGCTAGAGCACAGGGTATTGATCAGTTGTTTCTTTAGTTCTCCTCCATTCAGCTCACCTGGAAGCAGGAAACAAAATCACGTAACACAGTGTTTCACAACCTAGGGGTTGGGACCCCTGGGGGGGGGGGGGTCTCGAGGGGGTGTCAGAGGGGTCGCCAAACACCATCAGAAAACACATATTTCAGATAGTCTTAGGAACCCCTTTAGCAGAGGAGGCTGAAGATCTCTCTGCCTGTCCTTCTCTTCCTTTTTGGAAGCATTTTCTGTTGGTCACAGGGGTTCTGTATGTCATCAGTTGGGGACCCCTCTCCCAGCACCAACGGCTGCTCTGGGCCAGAGTAAAAAGAGAGGGGACCAGGAAGACAGTTCCACTTTGTCTCCTGTGCTATGCTAATAATATAATATAATATATTGTATATACATATAATATTTATAATATTGTAATGTAATACAATATAACACTATTACTACTACTAATAACAATATGATATTACAATTACAGTATATTCTGGCGTATAAGACTACTTTTTAACCCAAGAAAATCTTCTCAAAAGTCAGGGGTCGTCTTATACACGGGTGTAGTCTTATGCATGGGAGCCGTCTTAACTCTATATTTTAACTGGAAAAGTTGGGGGTCGTCTTATACTCCCAGTCGCCTTATATGCTGGAATATACGGTGTATATATATTTATATTACATGTAACATTACTAATAATATTACAATACAATGGTATAGTACAATATAGTATTATTTAATACTGATATTGTACTATGCTAATAACATAATATATTGTATGTGTGTGGATCTCTCTCTCTCTCTCTCTCTCTATATATATATATATATATATATATATATGTATGTATGTATATATCTTGAAAGCCGCTCTGAGTCCCCTTCGGGATGAAAAGGGTGGCATATAAATGTCGTAAATAAATAAATAAACTATACATCTCAGAAACTACAAACTCCCAAATGTCAAAGACTATTTTCCCCAAACTCCACCAGTGCTCACATTTGAGCATATGGAGTATTCGTGCCAAGTTTGGTCCAGATCCATGGTTGTTTGAGTCCACAGTGTTCTCTGGATGTAGGTGAACTACAACTCCAAAACTCAAAATCAATGCCTACCAAATCCTTCCAGTATTTTCTGTTGGTTGTGGGAGTTCTGTGTGCCAAGTTTGGTTCAATTCCATCACTGGTGGAGTTCAGAATGCTCTGATTGTAGGTGAACTATAAATCCCAGCAACTACAATTCCCAAATGACAAAATCAATCCCCGCCCCAACTCCACCAGTATTCAAATTTGGGCGTATCGGATATTTGTGCCAAATTTAGTCCAGTGAATGAAGATACATCCTGTATATCAGATATTTACATTACCATTCATAACAGTAGCAAAATTGCAGTTATGAAGTAGCAACAGAAATAATGTTATGGTTGGGGGTCACTACAACATGAAGAACTCTATTAAGGGGTCGCAACATTAAGACCATTGAGAACCACTGACGTAACAGAAAGGGCACTTTGGAGTTGTTCAAAGAGAAAGAATTAGAGAGGCAATAAAAAGGAAAGGGCTTACCTGTTCCATAAACCACGGTCTCTTTGGATGTGGCCAGTGCAGTTAGAACTGTAGGAAACAGCTCCAAGGATTTACCGCTGAGCAGGCTGCCTCCTTTGACGGCATCAACAAAGAAAGTGGCCAAATCAGCCAAGGCAGGGCCTGGCAGCCTTTGAGCCTGACCAATGAAGAATAACATGTAAGAATACCATTCGGAGGGGCTGCTAATAACCAACAAGTGGTTGTAGTAGAAGAAAGATTGAACTCTCAAGATGCAGCTTAAAAAAATCACTTTACAAAGAACATGTAAAAATACATGTATAAATATGTGAGAGGAAGTCATATCGAGTCATAGGGATGAGGGAACAAGCTTGTTTTCCACAAACGCCCCATCAATTTTTTCGCCCATGTCCCAGCATTATTTTCAATTTAAATTTTACATTTGGCCTTCCCACTGTTTTGGATTGTGTGTTGTCTTATTGATAATGTTGTATATTTTATTGTCTATGTTTTTTATTTTAATTGCTTGTATTGTTGTTTTATTGCTTGTATTGTTGTATTTGGGCTCGGCCTCATGTAAGCCGCACCGAGTCCCTTGGGGAGATGGTAGCGGGATACAAATAAAGTGTTATTATTATTATTATTATTATTATTATTGTTGTTGTTGTTGTTGTTGTTATTTTCTGCTGCCCTGGAGACTAGGACAGAACAATGGCTTTGTACAGAAGTTGATTATAAATTGTATGATTTTAACTGTATTGGTGTTTAGATTGGCTGCAGTAATGCTGGAGCGGCCTAAGTCAGAGGAGTGCGTTGCCATGGAGACGATGCAGTAGAGAGAGAAGTGGGAGGAGCTTAGAGGGGAGAGTTTGAAAAACGACAGTTTATGTTCAGTTAGGTTTTAGGTTCCGAGGAGTGAGGAGTTAGGGTTTTGGAGTCGGAGTTAGCAGTTGAGAGAGAGAGAGTGGGAAGTAGAGAAGCAGTGTTTGTGAATAGTCAGAGGTTTCTTCAGTTTAGGAAGGCTGAAGGGGAAACCTAATTAGTTTCATTAGTTAGAGAGGACTAAGAGAAGCTTGTTTAGATCACTAGTTAGAAATGAACTAGAGATCTGGGGTTTGATCACGGAAGGATCAAACAGGAAGGCTATTCACCTCAGGAAACATTGTTTAAGAAAGTGCTTCACCACAGTAAAAGTCAATTACAAGTTGTAACATCCAGAAGTGTGAACTGTATTGCAACCAAGTTACATGTAAAGTTCTCAAAGTATTTCCAAGTTTATCAACAGCCTGCAACCATACGCTTTGTACAAAATAAACTTGTTCTCTTTTGTTGAAGACCGTTTCATCTCAGTCAATCTGCGTCTGTGAAGCCAAATCTTATCATTGATAACCCATATACCTCACGATTGGTGGCAGCTACCCTAGTTTACAAATAATTGGCCTCCCCTACAATATATTCTTTCCAATAAGTGAGGCCTGAGTTTAATTCCCTCCTTGATTATACGCGCTTCACAACAGCTTCAAACTACAAGAAAGGAGATTCCATCTGAACATGAGGAAGAACTTCCTGACTGTGAGAGCTGTTCAGCAGTGGAACTCTCTGCCCTGAAGTGTGGTAGAGGCTCCTTCTTTGGAGGCTGGATGGCCATCTGTTTGGGATGCTTTGAATGCAATTTTCCTGCTTCTTGGCAGAATGGGGTTGGACTGGATGGCCCAGGAGGTCTCTTCCAACTCTATGATTCTATGAACAGTTGTATCCACATTCCACATTATTTCCACATTAGCAAAAAGGAAACACCACTCTCCTATGTCAGATCAGTCAATAAGAAACTGAAGATCTGGAATATTTAACTATTACAGTGTACATACTACCTTTGATTATTATCAGTGTTAGCACACATACAATACTGTCTTTGAAAAACTGCCAACTGTTTTCACTGGCTCTGCTCCTGCATATTTAATAGCAGCAGCCTCACAAGCAGACATAAACTGGTTATATATATATAGAGAGAGAGAGAGCATCTGAAAAGTCTCTTTACCATTTAAAATGAATTACAAAGGTAATTGTTGTAGTACGGTGTGCTGATCAAGCTACTACTAGTAGTAGAAGGGGAAAGAGGGCTGCTCAGGTACTGGAACAAGAGCAGCAAAGGAAGCGAATTAGGGAGATATTCATTACACCTACAGATACTGAGTCGTTCAAAGGTTTCACAGACTCTGAGATGGAGGAGGAGGGAGATGGGAGTAGAGGCTTGAAACGGGTTACTCGGGAGAAAGAGTCAGATGAGGAAAGGGAAAGGAAGCAGATCCGTGAAATACTTAATGCTCCAACTGAGGAAGAAGACTTCATGGTGTTCACGGGGCGTGATGGGACTGAGAGTGATAATGGAGAGGAGGATGGGCTAGACTGGACCCGTGTACAAGAGATCAGGGACATATGTACTCAACCCAGCTCAAGTGAGGAGTTTGAAGAGTTCTCAGGAGACTGGCAACCTGGAAATACATGGGGTGATCTAAGTCTTGACAAACGCTGGAAAAGCTGGAGGGACGGGCGGTGGCGAGCAGCTGTGGAAGCAAAAGCACCTGAGAGTGATTATGACAAGTGGAGTCCAGCTCCACCTCTGATGAGGAGTTATAGGATAAAAGTAAGGTATCAAACTATTGGAACTTTGCAGTAGGCAAAGTGTTGTATTGGGCTTGGGACTTTGTTGCTACCTTTACTGTCTCCTTGGGTCCTGGGACTGCAGATTGCTGTGCTTCTTCTGACTGGAATCCTGTAAATGCTGATTCTACTTCCTTGCTGACTTTGGATTGTTTTTGGATGACGACATCGCATTTTGGACTTAACTTCTGCTTTTGGACTTGCCTTGATTTTGGACTGTTTCCTGACTACATTTTTGCTTGCTTCTACCTTGCTACCTTGTATTTTGAGAACTCTGTGATTTTGAAGCACTTTGCTTGAACTTTTTGTTATACCGGATTATATCTCTGTATAATCCGGATTATTCTCCAAGTTGCGTTTTTTGTTTAGCAGTTGCTACAGACTTTGTTTTATCGCTAGACTCACTGAATTCAAGTGTTTCTAAGCTATTTTTGTTTGTTAATAAACCTTGTTTGGACCTTTTACTTGTGTTTGGCTCCTTTAAGGCTTCTGGTTCACGACAGTAATTAATGGGATATCTTAATAAGATTAAAATTACATTTGTGCATTTCAGGTACCCTGTTGATGAAATAGGTGCTGTTAATTGAAACGAACCCCTAAAAATGGCGGATTCTCAAGAGAAGGCACAATGTGTATCATGGTTTATTGAGACAAAATCAGATTCCGTAACAGAGCTAAGTATGGAAGGGATCCACCGTCACGTCTGGCAATTCATGCATAGCACATATTTGTCTTTTTATTTGCTTTCGTAATAAATTTTGAGCCCCCAGCACCACCCCCCAGAGTCGGACATGACTAGAATTAATGTCAAGGGGAAACCTTTACCTTTACCTTAATTATTTTTTTAAATGGTAAAGAGAATTTATGGACACCTTGTATATTTCCTGGCATGGAGGCAGAACAACTAATTTTCAGTACATGAGCAGCTACAAAAGTCCAAAAGATTAATATCGGTATGCAGGATAGTGAGATGACAAGATAAGTCGACCACATTACATTCTAAGAGTATGATCAAGAAGACTAAGTCCCAAGAGACAACATGCATCAACACAACTGTGTATAGAATGAACTGTATAGAAAATGCATCTTTTACTTTAAGGTCGGGGATTTGAGTCTCTAGATCAGGGGTCCACAAACCTTTTAAACAGAGGGCCAGGTCACAGTCCCTCAAACTGTTGGAGAGCAGGATTATAATTTGAAAAAAAAAACATGAATGAATTCCTATGCACACTGCACATATCTTATAAACAATACAATAATTAAAATGAAGAACAATGTCAACAAATATAAACGTATTCGTATTTCAATGGGAAGTGTGGGCATGCTTTTGGCTGATGAGAAAATGTTGTTGTTGTGTGCTTTCAAGTTGTTTCAGACTTAGGTTGACCCTGAGCGAGGGCCGGGTAAATGACCTTGGAGGGCCATATCCGGCCCCCGGGCCTTAGTTTGAGGACCCCTGCTCTAGATGTTTATGAACATCATTTCCAGTGTTTTAATGTTCTGATTTTATACTGTTGCGCTATTTATATTGGTTTTTCTATCTTATGTTATTTTAATTTCTTATTTTCTGTTGTGTAAATGCGTTACATTGTTTTACTGTATTGAGGGGCGTGGCCTCATGTAAGCTGCCCCGAGTCCCCTTGCGGAGATGGTGGCGGGGTATAAATAACGTTTTATTATTATTATTATTATTATTATTATTGGAGCCCCCGGTGGCGCAGTGGGTTCAACCCCTGTGCCAGCAGGACTGAAGACCGACAGGTCGCAGGTTCGAATCTGGGGAGAGGCGGATGAGCTCCCTCTATCAGCTCCAGCTCCTCATGTGGGGACATGAGAGAAGCCTCCCACAAGGATGATAAAAACATCAAATCATCCAGGTGTCCCCTGGGCAACGTCCTCGCAGACGGCCAATTCTCTCACACCAGAAGCGACTTGCAGTTTCTCAAGTCACTTCTGACACGACAAAAAAAAAATTATTATTATTATTAACTCCATACCTCACCACTGACTACATGGTCTAGAGCCAATGGAAGTTGTGATACAAACAAATTCTGGTTTCGCTGCTGACCAACTCAAGAACATAAACCTGGTCAGAACTAGCAGGCCTCATTAATAATAATAATAATAATAATAATAATAATAATAATCTTTATTTCTACCCCGCGACCATCTCCCCGATGGGGACTCGGAGCGGCTTACATGGGGCCAAGTCTGAACAACATAATACAGCAATAAAATCAAATCATATACAACAGACATCAACAACATTATCAAAATGACATTAAAATAATAATAAAATAATAAAATAATAATAAATAAATAAAATAAAAATTCCAATAGACACAATCATGATAAAGATGACAATGGACGGGCCGCATATTCTGATTAAAAAAACAATTAACAGACTATGATGAGATAAAATAGGAGCAGGACGTTTAAATGGAACTCATAAAACACACAGAGTTTGGAGGGCACGAACTCCATTAGCCGAAAACGTTGAGGGGGGTGCAAAATATCATGCTGTGCACCTACTCGCCAAAGGCACAGTAGAAAAGCCAGATTTTGAAGTTCCTTTTAAATGTTTCCAGTGAAGGGGTTTTCCTGATCTCCCCAGGTAAAGAGTTCCAAAGTCAGGGGGCCACAGAAGAGAAGGCTCTCCTCCCTTGTGCCCACAAGACGAGCTTGTGAGATTGGTAAGGGTGAAAGGAGGACCTCCCCTGAGGAACGAAGGGCCCGGGTTGGTACGTGGAGTGAGATACGGTCACGAAGGTAGGCGGGTCCCAAACCGTTTAGCGCTTTATAGGTGATAACCTGCACCTTGAAACTGGTGCTAAGAAATCCAAGCCTACCTCTAACATAAGGAGCCGTATAATCTCAGATGCAGATTCCACATGCAAGTCCCCCGATTCCACCAACTGGATACAGTGCTTGTAAATACTAAGTCTCCTAACAACACCATTCTGTTGGGAGCAAGGAGAACCTAATGTGGAGGATAGAAATAAAGTAATAAAGAAAGACATCAAGATGAGTATTTCAACCCAGCTTTCCGGCAAAAAGGAATGATAATGGCTTGGGCTTCAACTGATTTCTTCAATTGATGAATTTATAAAGACATAATTCACCAGAAGTACACTTTCTTGGCATTTTAAACCACTAAAATATCCTGTGTCAAAGTAATACTAGGATTAAAAAAAAAGCCAATTAAAAGTTTCCCAAAAGTTTGGATTTGCTGGTCAAACGACAGTTGGTACGCAAAAGGACTTAATTGTTGCTAATGCCAGGAAGCCCACCTGGTAAGATTATTTCAAGAGACAAGAGCTACGAAGTCTCCCCCAACAGTACAATTTAGAAACTTAATTTTGCATATATTATTTATTTATTATTTACAGTATTTGTATACCGCTTTTCTCAGCCCGAGGGGGACTCAAAGCGGTTTACACATAAGTAATAGCAAAAATTCAATGACAGCACAAACAATTACAATTATACACTACAATTAGACAGTGGGTTAAAGCACTGAGCTGCTGAGCTTGTTGATCGAAAGGTCGCAGGTTCGATTCCGGGGAGCGGTGTGAGCTTCTGCTGTCAGCCCTAGCTTCTGCCAACCTAGCAGTTCGAAAACATGCAAATGTGAGTAGATCAATAGGTACCGCTCCGGCGGGAAGGTAACGGCGCTCCATGCAGTCATGCCGGCCACATGACCTTGGAGGTGTCTATAGACAACGCCGGCTCTTCGGCTTAGAAATGGAGATGAGCACCACACCCCAGAGTCAGACATGACTGGACTTAATGTCAGGGGACTACCTTTACCTTTACCTAAATTTTAAAATACATCCATGAGCAATAAAACAATCATTAAAACAATAAAACAGTCTCGTCTGTCGAATCACCGTTCCAGTCATTGTCTTTCTGAAATGCTGCATACATTTACTTCTACTGCCCGAAGGCCTGGTCCCAAAACCATAAATCACTCTATGGCTTTAAATCTTCCATAGCATTATGTTCTACACCAGAGACCCAGAGTTTAAAAACTATAAACCATAGTTCACACTAGTAAAACTATAGTACTGACACTTAGGATTCCTCCCAGGTTTGGACCAAGATATATTCCACTTGGAATCGTGCCTGTTTGCATGGTAGGTCATCAGCTTTGCAACAGAGGTGGAAAACCAGGTGAGTCTTCTGTTGCTTCCAGGGCTGCCCTTCTTACAAGGAAGTAGATTCCCCCAAAAGGACATCTTCTGGACCAGGCATATATATTTGACTAGCATAGAAGTCTCGTACACAGAAATATTTTTTGTAGCTGAATCAAAAGCTAAAAAAAACCCAAGCCATGCATAGTTCAAGCTCTTACAGGTCATGGCCTCATACCTTTGAAGATCCCTCTGAGAAAAGCACAGATCTCCTTCCCTCTCAAAGCCTGCTTTGTAACCAGGTCACACAACTGCAACAAGAAGAAAAGAACTATAAGATTTATTTGTCATTACACAGGCAGTTCCCAAATTACGAACAAGATAGGTTCGTAAGTTGAATGTGTATGTAAGTCAGAACAGGGACACTTTAAAGTGTAACTCCAACCAAATATATATACACATATATAGCTTTGGATAGCATAGAAAAGGGTGGACACGCCTGTGGTGTTTATTTTGCTGTCCGTTCCCCTGTTCAGAAGATTTCACCTCACAATTGGCCAGCTTGGCTATCACTGAATAGCCTTGTGGCTTCAAAGCCTGTCCGTTTCCTGGTGGGAGATGTCAGGAAGTTCTTCCTCATGTTCAGAGAGAGGCTGGATGGCCATCTGTCAGGGGTGCTTTGAATGCAATATTCCTGCTTCTTGGCAGAATGGGGTTGGACTGGATGGCCCAGGAGGTCTCTTCCAACTCTAGGATTAACTTCCTGACTGTGAGAGCTGTTCAACAGTGGAACTCTCTGCTCCGGAGTGTGGTGGAGGCTCCTTCTTTGGAAGCTTTTAAACAGAGGCTGGATGGCCATTTGTCAGGGGTGATTTGAATGCAATATTCCTGCTTCTTGGCAGAATGGGGTTGGATTGGATGGCCCATGAGGTCTCTTCCAACTCTAGGATTAACTTCCTGACTGTGAGAGCTGTTCAACAGTGGAACTCTCTGCCCCGGAGTGTGGTAGTGGCTCCTTCTTTGGAAGCTTTTAAACAGAGGCTGTATGGCCATTTGTCAGGGGTGCTTTGAATGCAATTTTCCTGCTTCTTGGCAGAATGGGGTTGGATTGGATGGCCCATGAGGTCTCTTCCAACTCTAGGATCCTATTATTCTATGATTCTAAATTCTACAAAGGTAGAAGAAGAAAGTATGAATGTGCTCTAACTGGAGTTCAGCTGTGACCAGCAGTGATGCAGAATTGTATGTGGAGATTGCGATAGTGACTCACCTCATTTCCTTTCAGGTTTTGTAAACAGGCCTGAAGCTGCTCTGCTTCCTCCTCTGCTGCCAGAGAGAGGATTTTCTGGTCCATTTTAAGGCGGGTGGTCAGAGGGAAAACTTCATTTAGCTTTCCATTCTTTTACTTCCTGAAATTCCTGTCACCTGTAAAAGGAAGAAGAGTTTATACGGATGGGATTTATTTATCGTGTCATCCGCAACCAGACCATTGTATTACATTTCTAGCAGAACAAAACAAACAAACAGATAAAAAAAACACACAAATTTTGCAAACTTGGTAGTTGGTTAAATGTCCTTTGACCAGTCTCTGGCTACTTGGAGTGCTCTGGTGTTGCCGCAAGAAGGTCCTCCATGGTGCATGTGGCAGGGCTCAGGTTGCATTGCAGCAGGTGGTCAGTGGTTGGCTCTTCTCCGCAGTCGCATGTTGTGGATTCCACTTTGTGGCCCCATTTCTGAAGGTTGGCTCTGCATCTCATGGTGCCCGAGCGCAGCCTGTTCAGCGCCTTCCAAGTCGCCCAGTCCTCTGTGTGCCCAGGGGGGAGTCTCTCATTTGGTATCAGCCATTGGATTGAGGTTCTGGGTTTGAGCCTGCCACTTTTGGACTCTCGCTTGCTGAGGTGTTCCAGCGAGTGTCTCTGTAGATCTTAGAAAACTATTTCTTGATTTAAGTCGTTGACGTGCTGGCTGATACCCAAACAGGGGATGAGCTGGAGGTGTCTCTGCCTTGGTCCTTTCACTATTGGCTGCTACTTCCCGGCGGATGTCAGGTGGTGCAATACTGGCTAGGCAGTGTAATTTCTCCAGTGGTGTAGGGCGCAGACACCCGTGATAATGCGGCATGTCTCATTAAGAGCCACATCCACTGTTTTAGCGTGGTGAGATGTGTTCCACACTGGGCATGCGTACTCAGCAGCAGAGTAGCACAGCGCAAGGGCAGATGTCTTCACTGTGTCTGGTTGTGATCCCCAGGTTGTGCCAGTCAGCTTTCGTATGATATTGTTTCTGGCACCCACTTTTTGCTTGATGTTCAGGCAGTGCTTCTTGTAGGTCAGAGCACGGTCCAGGGTGACTCCCAGGTATTTGGGTGCGCTGCAATGCTCCAGTGGGATTCCTTCCTAGGTGATCCTCAGAGCTCGAGATGCATGTCTGTTCTTGAGATGAAAGGCACATGTCTGTGTTTTAGGTGGGTTGGGGATCAGCTGGTTTTCCCTGTAATAGGCAGTAAGAGCACCTAGAGCAGTGTTTCTCAACCTGGGGGTCGGGACCCCTGAGGGGGTTGCGAGGGGGTGTCAGAGGGGTCGCCAAAGACCATAAGAAAACACAGTATTTTCTGATGGTCATGGGGATTCCATGTGGGAAGTTTGAGTCAATTCTATCGTTGGTGGAGTTCAGAATGTTCTTTGATTGTAATGAACTATAAATCCCAGCAACTACAACTCCCAAATGTCAAGATCTATTTTCCCCAGATTCCACCAGTGTTCACATTTGGGCATATTGAGTATTCATGCCAAGTTTGGTCCAGATCCACCATTGCATGAGTCCACAGTGCTCTCTGGATATAGGTGAACTACAACTCCCAAACTCAAGGTCAATGCCCATCAAACCCTTCCAGGGTTTTCCATTGGTCATGGGAGCCAAGTTTGGTTCAAATCCATCGCTGGTGGAGTTCAAAATGCTCTTTGAGTTCAGAATGTTCTTTGATTATAAGTGAACTATAAATCCCAGCAACTACAACTCCCAAATTACAAAATCAATCCTCCCCCAACCCCACTAGCATTTACATGTGGGTGCATTGGGTATTTGTGCCCAGTTTGGTCCAGTGAATGAAAATACATCTTGCATATCTAATATTTACATTATGATTTATAACAGTAGTAAAATGACTGTTATGAAGTAGCAACGAAAACAATATTATGGTTGGGGGTCACCACAACATGAGGGACTGTATTAAGGGGTCGTGGCATTAGAAAAGGTTGAGAAACACTGACTTAGAGCTTCGGAGAGCTTCTGTTCTGGGATTGAAAAAATAGGAATCACCAGGCTGCCCTTTCTATTCCCTCAAAGCCTCAAAGGAGAAGGAAACCCCCCTCTACCACGAAAAGAATCAAATTACAACAACAACGCATTATCACGGGGTGTCTGCGCCCTACACCACTGGAGAAATTACACTGCTTAGCCGGTATTGCACCACCTGACATCCGCCGGGAAGTAGCAGCCAATAGTGAAAGACCAAGGCAGAGACATCTCCAGCTCATCCCCTGTTTGCGTATCAGCCAGCACGTCAACGACTTAAATCAAGAAACAGTTTTCTAAGATCTACAGAGACACTCGCTGGGACACCTCAGCAAGCGAGAGTCCAAAAGTGGCAGGCTCAAACTCAGAATGTGATACCCAATTGGTTAAGTGGACGAACACAGAGAGTGCTCACTAATGCTTCCTCTTCATCTTGGAAAGAAGTGACAAGTGGAGTGACGCAGGGTTCCGTCCTGGGCCCGGTCCTGTTCAACATCTTTATTAATGACTTAGATGAAGGGCTAGAAGGCATGATCATCAAGTTTGCAGACGACACCAAATTGGGAGGGATAGCCAATAGTCCAGAGGACAGGAGCAGAATTAAAAACGATCTTGACAGATTAGAGAGATGGGCCAAAACTAACAAAATGAAGTTCAACAGTGACAAATGCAAGATACTCCACTTTGGCAGAAAAAATGAAATGCAAAGATACAGAATGGGTGACGCCTGTCTCGAGAGCAGTACGTGTGAAAAAGATCTTGGAGTCCTCGTGGACAACAAGTTAAACATGAGCCAACAATGTGATGTGGCGGCAAAAAAAGCCAATGGGATTTTGGCCTGCATCAATAGGAGCATAGTGTCTAGATCTAGGGAAGTAATGCTCCCCATGCTCTATTCCGCTTTGTTTAGACCACACCTGGAATATTGTGTCCAATTCTGGGCACCACAATTCAAGAGAGATATTGACAAGCTGGAATGTGTCCAGAGGAGGGCGACTAAAATGATCAAGGGTCTGGAGAACAAGCCCTATGAGGAGCGGCTTAGGAGCTGGGCATGTTTAGCCTGAAGAAGAGAAGGCTGAGAGGAGACATGATGAGGGCCATGTATAAATATGTGAGTGGAAGCCACAGGGAGGAGGAGATCAAGGGTCTGGAGAACAAGCCCTATGAGGAGCGGCTTAAGGAGCTGGGCATGTTTAGCCTGAAGAAGGCTGAGAGGAGATATGATAGCCATGTATAAATATGTGAGAGGAAGCCACAGGGAGGAGGGAACAGATCAAGGGTCGGGAGAACAAGCCCTATGAGGAGCGGCTTAAGGAGCTGGGCATGTTTAGCCTGAAGAAGAGAAGGCTGAGAGGAGATATGATAGCCATGTATAAATATGTGAGAGGAAGCCACAGGGAGGAGGGAGCAAGCTTGTTTTCTGCTTCCTTGGAGACTAGGACGCAATGGAACAATGGCTTCAAACTTCAAGAGAGGAGATTCCATCTGAACATGAGGAAGAACTTCCTGACTGTGAGAGCCGTTCAGCAGTGGAACTCTCTGCCCCGGAGTGTGGTGGAGGCTCCTTCTTTGGAAGCTTTTAAACAGAGGCTGGATGGCCATCTGTCAGGTTTTTAGTGGGCCCTTGCGTTTCGTTTTTTTAAAGAATTCCGAAATTTTACGAACTCTTTGATTCTATGATGCAGAGCCAACCTTCAGAAATGGGGCTACAAAGTGGAATCCTCGACATATGCGAGTGTGGAGAGGAGCAAACCACTGACCACCTACTGCAATGCACCCTGAGCCCTGCCACATGCGCAATGGAGGACCTTCTTGCGGCAACACCAGAGGCACTCCAAGGGGCCAGAGACTGGTCAAAGGACATTTAACCAAATACCAAATTTGCAGAATCTGTGTGGTTTTCTTTTTTTTTCTTCCTTTTCCTTTTAAATCTGTGTGTTTGTTTTGCTCTGTTAGAATTGTAACACAATGGCTGCTGATGACACGATAAATAAAAAATAAAATCACAACAACAACAACAACAACAAACCCAGCAGAACCTTTTTGTGCTTGTTTTATCCTCCCAAAGAAAATGTCAGACAATAAATGCCAGTTATGGGAAATAAAGAGGAAAAGCCAACCTGTCTCCAGCCTGGAATCCAGACTTCCTGCCTTCCTGCCTTCCTTCAAAAGGCAAATTTCCCGCCCGGAAGTGCGCCTGCGTTGCCCCGGGCAACAGGACCCGCCCTTTCCACGACAGACTGGTGACGTCCCGAGCTGCCCCGCCTTGGAGTCTCTATCTTTCGCGCATGCGCATCAGGAAAGCATGGTTAAGGAAGAACCCAGGAGTTTCAGAGGCTGGCTTTTTGGGAATATCCTCCAAGGCAACATATTGAGATCACAGAATCATAGAATCAACGAGTTGGAAGAGACCTCCTGGGCCATCCAGTCCAACCCCATTCTGCCAAGAAGCAGGAATATTGCATTCAAATCACCCCTGACATATGGCCATCCAGCCTCTGTTTAAAAGCTTCCAAAGAAGGAGCCTCCACCACACTCCGGGGCAGAGAGTTCCACTGTTGAACAGCTCTCACAGTCAGGAAGTTAATCCGAGAGTTGGAAGAGACCTCCTGGGCCATCCAGTCCACCCCCATTCTGCCAAGAAGCAGGAATATTGCATTCAAATCACCCCTGACAGATGGCCATCCAGCCTCTGTTTAAAAGCTTCCAAAGAAGGAGCCTCCACCACACTCCGGGGCAGAGAGTTCCACTGCTGAACGGCTCTCACAGAAAGGAATCATTGAGTTGGAAGAGACCTCATGGGCCATCCAGTCCAACCCCCATTCTGCCAAGAAGCAGGAATATTGCATTCAAATCACCCCTGACAGATGGACATCCAGCCTCTGTTTAAAAGCTTCCAAAGAAGGAGCCTCCACCACACTCCGGGGCAGAGAGTTCCACTGCTGAACGGCTCTCACAGTCAGGAAGTTCTAGAGTTGGAAGAGACCTCATGGGCCATCCAGTCCAACCCCCTGCCAAGAAGCAGGAATATTGCATTCAAATCACCCCTGACAGATGGCCATCCAGCCTCTGTTTAAAAGCTTCCAAAGAAGGAGCCTCCACCACACTCCAGGGCAGAGAGTTCCACTGCTGAACAGCTCTCCCAGTCAGGAGAGGTTGGGCATATGGAGTATTCATGCTAAGTTTGGTCTAGATCCTTCATTGTTTGAGTCTACAGTGCTCCCTGGATATAGGTGAACTACAACTCCAAAACTCAAGGTTAATGCCCACCAAACCCTTCTAGTGTTTTCTGTTGGTCATGGGAGATCTGTGTGCCAAGTTTGGTTCAATTCCATTGTTGGTGGAGTTCAGAATGCTCTTTGATTGTAGGTGAACTATAAATTCAAGCAACTACAACTCCGAAATGACAAAATCAATCCCCCCAACCTCATAGAATCATAGAGTTGGAAGAGACCTCCTGGGCCATCCAACCCAACCCCCTGCCAAGAAGCAGGAATATTGCATTCAAATCACCCCTGACAGATGGCCATCCAGCCCCTGTTTAAAAGCTTCCAAAGAAGGAGCCTCCACCACACTCCGGGGCAGAGAGTTCCACTGCTGAACAGCTCTCACAGTCAGGAAGTTCTTCGTGTTCAGATGGAATCTCCTCTCTTGTAGTTTGAAGCCATTGTTCCACATCCTAGTCTCCAAGGAAGCAGAAAACAAGCTTGCTCCCTCCTCCCTGTGGCTTCCTCTCACATATTTATACATGGCTATCATATCTCCTCTCAGCCTTCTCTTCTTCAGGCTAAACATGCCCAGCTCCTTAAGCCGCTCCTCATAGGGCTTGTTCTCCAGACCCTTGATCATTTTAGTCGCCCTCCTCTGGACACATTCCAGCTTGTCAATATCTCTCTTGAATTGTGGTGCCCAGAATTGGACACAATATTCCAGGTGTGGTCTAACCAAAGCAGAATAGAGCATGGGGAGCATGACTTCCCTAGATCTAGACACTAGGCTCCTCTTGATGCAGGCCAAAATCCCATTGGCTTTTTTTGCCGCCACATCACATTGTTGGGTCATGTTTAACTTGTTGTCCACGAGGACTCCAAGATCTTTTTCACACGTACTGCTCTCAAGCCAGGCATCCCCCATCCCCCAGATGGAGAAAGCGCTGCTTCTCTGCTGCTCCATTCCCAAAATTATGCAAAACGTTACATTTGCATTGGCCACCGGGCTTTGCCAATAAGGGGCATCTGAATCATCAATGGATTTTTGTACTTGAGACTTGGAACCATTTCCAAGATCTATCTATCTATCTATCTATCTATCTATCTATCTATCTATCTATCTATCTATCTATCTATCTAGCTATCCATCCGATCCCCAACCCATCTAAAACACAGACATGTGCCTTTCATCTCAAGAACAGACAAGCATCCCGAGCTCTGAGGATTATTACCTGGGAAGGAATCCCACGGGAGCATTGCAGCACACCCAAATCCCTGGGAGTCACTCTGGACCGTGCTCTGACCTACAAGAAGCACTGCCTGAACATCAAGCAAAAAGTGGGTGCTAGAAACAATATCATACAAAAGCTGACTGGCACAACCTGGGGATCAAAACCAGACACAGTGAAGACATCTGCCCTTGCGCTGTGCTACTCTGCTGCTGAGTATGCATGCCCAGTGTGGAACACATCTCACCACAGGCATGTAGCCAGGGGGGGGGGGCTTGAGGGGCTTCAGCCCCCCCCCCCCGAAATTCTGATGGTGGTTCGCGAAAAGGCCTTACTGGTGCATTATTTAAACTGTTATGTTTATTCATATCATGATCTGATCACCATAATCAATATATCCCATATGCATGGGGGTATTGGGGTAATAATACAAAAGGTTTGCTAGGCTAGACCCTCTTTCACTCAGACTCAGCCCCCCCCGAAACTCAGCCCCCCCCCGAAACCCCCCCTGAAATTTTTTTAGCCCCCCCCCGAAACCCGAAACGAAATCCTGGCTACGGGCCTGTCACCACGCTAAAACAGTGGATGTGGCTCTTAATGAGACATGCCGCATTATCATGGGGTGTCTGCGCCCTACACCACTGGAGAAATTACACTGTCTAGCCGGTATTGCACCACCTGACATCGGCTGGGAAGTAGCAGCCAATAGTGAAAGGACCAAGGCAGAGACATCTCCAGCTCATCCTCTCTGGTGTTGCCGCAAGAAGGTCCTCCTTGTGCATGTGGCAAGGCTCAGGTTGCATTTCAGCAGGTGGTCAGTGGTTGGCTCTTCTCCGCACTCGCATGTCGTGGATTCCACTTTGTGGCCCCATTTCTTGAGGTTGGCTCTGCATCTTGTGGTGCCAGAGCGCAGTCTGTTCAGCACCTTCCAAGTCGCCCATTCCTCTGTGTGCCCAGGGGGGAGTCTCTCATTTGGTATCAGCCATTGATTGAGGTTCTGGGTTTGAGCCTGCCACTTTTGGACTCTCGGTTGCTGAGGTGTTCCAGCGAGTGTCTCTGTAGATCTTAGAGAACTATTTCTTGATTTAAGTCATTGACGTGCTGGCTGATACCCAAACAAGGGATGAGCTGGAGATGTCACTGCCTTGGTCCTTTCATTATTGGCTTTCACTATATACTTCCCGGCGGATGTCAGGTGGTGCGGGCTAAGCAGTGTTATTTCTCCATTGGTGTGAGGCACAGACACCCCGTGATAATGTGGCATGTCTCATTAAGAGCCACATCCATTGTTTTAGCGTGGTGAGATGTGTTCCACACTGGGCATGCGTACTCAGCAGCAGAGTAGCATAGCGCAAGGGCAGATGTCTTCACTATGTCTGGTTGTGAACCCCAGGTTGTGCCAATCAGCTTTTGTATGATATTGTTTCATGTGCTTTTCACCTTAAGAACAGACTTTGCAGTAGGCAAAGTGTTGTATTGGGCTTGGGACTTTGTTGCTGCCTTTACTGTCGCCTTGGGTCCTGGGACTGCAGATCGCTGTGCTTTCGTGCTTCTACCAACTGGAATCCTATAAAGGCGCAGACGTGCTTGGTTTCATCTATGCTGATGATTGTGCCATTACTGCTCAAGCAGGGAGCTTTGAGATGGTTGAACAGAAGCTTTCTGAAGCTCTAGGTGCTCTTACTGCCTATTACAGAGAAAACCATCTGATCCCTAACCCATCTAAAACACAGACATGTGCCTTTCACCTTAAGAACAGACAAGCATCCCGAGCTCTGAGGATTACCTGGGAAGGAATCCCACTGGAGCATTGCAGCGCACCCAAATACCTGGGAGTCACTCTGGACCGTGCTCTGACCTACAAGAAGCACTGCCTGAATATCAAGCAAAAAGTGGGCGCTAGAAACAATATCATACGAAAGCTGACTGGCACAACCTGGGGATCACAACCAGACACAGTGAAGACATCTGCCCTTGCGCTGTGCTATTCTGCTGCTGAAGCAGTGCCTGAATATCAAGCAAAAAGTGGGCGCTAGAAACAATATCATATGAAAGCTGACTGGCACAACCTGGGGATCACAACCAGACACAGTGAAGACATCTGCCCTTCCGCTATGCTACTCTGCTGCTACAAGGTGTGCCTGAACATCAAGCAAAAAGTGGGTGCTAGAAACAATATCATACGAAAAGCTGACTGGCACAACCTGGGGATCACAACCAGATACAGAAATAAACATCTATCTATCTATCTATCTATCTATCTATCTATCTATCTATCATCTATCTATCTATCTATCTATCTATCTATCTATCTATCTATCTATCTATCTATCTAAAAATGTTCTGTGCATAATGAGTACCTTAAAAACAAAAGAACCAATGAACGAAATCACACCAAATTTGGCAACAAAACGTCTCACAACACAAGGAGTGACCATCACTCAAGAAAGAATTTGAACCCTGGTGTCCAGAGTCATGGTCCTATACTCACCTCACTATTTCATGCTGGATTCCAGTAATAGAAGCATGAAAGTCCAAAAACAAAATGGCCTGTGGGCTATACCCATCCCAGTGCATCCCAAGCCTTAAACGGTTTGGGACCCGCCTACTTATGTGACTGCATCTCTGTCTATGAACCCACGTGTTCTCTTCGTTCATCCGGAGAGGCCCTGCTCGCGATCCCACCTGCGTCGCAGGCGCGATTGGTGGGGACGAGGGACAGGGTCTTTTCTGTGGTGGCCCCC